TATTTCCCTTTCATGAAGCCACACTGACTCTGCTTGATTAGATTATGATTTTCCAAATTTGTTGCTATTACTTCCTTAATGATTTCAACATTTTTCCAATAGATGTTAGGCTAATTGGCCTATAGTTACCCAATTTTTGAACAGAGATATCACAGTGACACTTTTCCAATCCTCTGGTATTTGTCCAAAATCTAAGGATTTTGGAAAATTACAACCATGCATCCAATATTTCTGAGGTTGCTATTTATGAATCCTAGGATCCAAATTATCAAGGCCAGGAGAATTCTCTGTCTTTAACCCCTATTAGTTTGACTGATACTACTTCTCTACCAATAGTGATGGTACTTAGTTTATCCTTCGTGTTCTTTAGTACTAATGGGATGTTCGAACTATCTTCCACTGTAAAAACAGATGCAAAATATCTGATTAAACTCCTCTGCCATTTCTTTGTTCCCCTTGGCGTGTACAAGTTGGACTGTAGGGTCTGTTTCCGCGCTGAATGACCCCATAATTATCTGATACATTTTCTGAGGGACCTGTGTTCACTTTGATCTCTCTCCTCCATTTTATATAGTTAAAGAAGCTGTTATTGTAAGTTTTTATGTTCCTCACTAGTTTGCCCTCATTGTTTATTTTCTCTCTCTCTTGTATTTTTAGTCATTCTTTGCTAGATTCTAAATTTATCCCAGTCTTCAGGACTATCACTGACTTTTCCCTTGTTTTATGCTTTTTCTTTCAACTTTATACTGTCCTTAACCTTCTTGGTGTGCCGTGGCTGGTTTATCCATCTCTTTCATTCATTCCTCCTTGTTGGGGTATATTTTTTTTGAAAGTAATGAATTACTTCTTTCATGTCTGCCACTGCTTGCTTACTGTCTTTCCTGCTAATCTATCTGCTCAGCCTGCTTTAGATAGTGCTATTCTCATTTTTCTTTGTCAAAAATAATTGTATTTAATTTAAATAATCAAACTGAGTCTTAAATTCTTACATGAGACCCCCTGCCATCACACCCAAGCACACAAAACAGTGACTTAAGCCACCAAAGCATGCATTCAAATCCCACCTTGGTATTTGGAGAATTTAAATTCAATTAATGAAGAAAAAACTTGAAAACTTGATTTCAGTAATGGTGACCATGTAATCAACAACAGTTGTCCAAAACCATCTGGTTCACTAATGTCCTTTTAAAGAATAGCCTTGAGAATTGAACAGAATACTCCTTATTGTCACATATACTCAATGAATATAGTGAAAAGTTTATATGTCGCCAATTACAGCGCCAACTTAGATACCAAAGTACCTAGGCACAGCTTCTTTAGTTACAAAATTTTAGACAATACAGAAATAAAATGTCCAGCATTACAGTTCAGTACAGCAGACCACATTGGCACAAAACTTCCAGTCTGCACCTGGTCCTGGATCCACACCTGCCAGCAAAACGCCATGCCAGGAGGCTGTTGCACCAGCCTGGGAGGTTGCCATGCCATGCCGGGAGGCCCCTAAGGGAGGACGCTGCTGTGCCACACCAGGAGATCGTCGCACAACATTGGGAAGCCACAGTGCCAGGTCAGGAGGTCACCACACCAATACCCGGAGGCCGCTGCACCAGGCCAGAGGATGCCACGCCACGCCGAGAGGCTGCTACACCAGGCGGGGATTCATTGCTCACTGGAGGCCGGGAGTCGAAGAGAGAAAAAAAGGGGGAGAAAAGAAGTACTAGGAGGAAGAAAAAGAGAAGAAATGAAGGAGGAAGGAAATCAGCCAACACGTGACCCCCAGATCCGCAGTAATGTGGTTGACTCTAAACTTCCCTTTGAAATGGCCCTAGTAAGCAACTCGGTTCAAGGGCAGTTAAGGACGGGCAACACGGGCTGGTCTTGCCAGATGCCTACATCCCTCCGAGGAACAAGAAAAAGAAGCAACTGAAGAATCCCTCAACAGGTTAAATGATCTCACCAGATCAGGTAAGGTAATTCATCAGAGATAGTAGGAACTGCAGATGCTGGAGAATCTGAGACGACAAGGTGTAGAGCTGGATGAACACAGCAGGCCAAGCAGCATCACAGGAGCAGGAAAGCTGACGTTTCGGGCCTAGACCCTTCATCAGTAATTCATCAGCCACTTTATCTTTTCTTGCTGGATCAGAGTGCCAGAAAACTCCTCAAGCTCTGAAATGAAGTCTTACACAATTAACCCTCAGGATAACAGCATATTCTACAATTCCAATCTTTACTCCAGCCCAAAAAACTGTTGCAGTGAATACCAACATTGCTGAAGAATAATCCCCAGAGATCCCAGTAGTATCCTCCTACCAGGATCCAGTTGCCTGAGATAAGGGCTACTTCATCCGTGTCAGCCACAGCTCAGTGGGTAGCAACTCAGAAAACAGGAGATTCAAGTTAATTGTACAAAATGTAGGCTAACATTCGCAGTGCATACCAAGAGCCTGTTTTCACAGTACTGAGGAAGTGACAACCCTCTACAGCTGTTTCAATAGCACCTTCCAAAATTCTACCACCTAGAAGGAAAAGGGCAGCAGACGCATGAAGAAACTACCACTTACATGTTGCCTTTCAAACCACACATCACGTGACTTAGAACTATATTGTCATGCCTTCACCGCCAGAGGGTCACAATCTGGAACTTCTTTCAGAATCTTGAGTGTGCCTGCATTGCATGGACTGCAGCTGCCATCACCATTTTAAGGGCAATTAAGGATGGGCAATAAATGCAGTCCTAGCCAGCAATACCGGTATTCTGTGAACAAATATTTTAAATACCATCTTTCAGAGATGTTAAACTGATTCCTTATTACCCTATAAAAACCAAAACCAGTTCTGAGGAAGGGTCACCAGACCCGAAACGTTACCTCTGTTTTTTCCTTCACAGATGCTGCCAGACCTGCTGAGTTTCTCCAGCAACTTTATTTTTGTTCCTTATTACCCTGTCAGGTTCTATGAGCCAGAGTTCATGTTGCCAGCCCCCTGAACATCATCATCTTCTGACAGAAAGAATAAATCCAATTTCTGTCCTGAAGCTAGATGCCACATCTGTAAACAGCTTCAACTCCCTCTCCGTCAACCCGTTTTTCTATGGCTGTATGCAGAACCTCAAAGTCAACCAGTTTAGTTACTGCTTGGAGACAGGTTATCTCGTTGCAATCAGACTAATCTGCAAAGGCGAAATCTAATGGAAGATTCCAAGCAGCACAAAGTCAGGGATTCCATTTTTCCTAGACTTGTTTAATCTTTGACCCTTCCAGACATTCTAATGCTTGATATGACAGCACCCTGACATTATCAATGTAATCTGCTCCATGATGTCCACTTTATTTCAGTATTGTCTGCAATTTCCCTTAAATACAGATGATGGTAAAGGACCATCTTCAATGATAGAAGGGTTGGTTGTTTTACCACTTCACTGTTCCATGCCATGTTATGTGTATTTTAATAGTGCAGAGCAAGACAGTCCCTTCATGGAGTGTGAAGCATTGATACTGTAATACGACATTACACAGTAAACCACCATCAATATGAATAAGTCACCACCAACAGCAGATACAGCTAAATCAATATCCCAACGCAAGGGCAAGGCCAAGAGTTAAATTTGATTGTAAGATTCATCCGTCCAAATCATGTTTAAGGAATGCAGAGCCACTGGATATTAATTTTTACACCACACCAACAACAGCTCATCCTGAACTATGAGCAAGTTAACTTCCAACAGGTTACATCGTCATGAGTGTCAGTTAATAATTAATCCTCAAAAATTCAGAAACATTTCCAAAGAGCTCTTTTTTCAAAAATATTTGGGCATTGAACTATACCTAATATTTTCTGTCATCCTGAACGTACTGCCAAAAAGGCCATTCTCATCCTTCACACCATGATGTGAGGGGTACTTCTGAGAGCGTGAAAATGCCAACTGATTCACTTTACCAAACATCGTTGGCATCAAACACAAAACTTTTCATTCGTTCTTTGTTTCCCCACCAAAAAGAATAAAGCAGGCATTGTCAACAAAAAGCAGGCTGGGAAATTCCTCCCTTTCCCCAAAACTCTCCCAACATCAGACACAAATTATTTCAAGTTCAGCATACAATGTCAGCTATGGCCAATTATTTCGGTGGTCATAGAATCAGCGAATCCTTACAGTAACAGAAGGAGACCATTCAGCCAATCAAGACTGTACTGACCATCCGACGAGCATCCCACCATCCCCTCACTGATAACACCTATTATTTGCTAGAATTAGTGAAAGACATGGGGATGCCATCCTCCGGGATTCAATGGAAAGCAGTGGGCGATTGGGTGGGCAATTAATTTTACCTCAAAATAAATAAACAAAGGAGGGCATTGAGGGAGATAGTAGGAACTGCCGATGCTGGAGAATCTGAGATAACTCGGTGTAGAGCTGGATGAACACAGCAGGCCAAGCAGCAAGAGAGGAACGGGAAAGCGGACGTTTCGGGCCTAGGACCTGCTTCAGAAAATTTCTACACCTTGTTCTCTCAGGGTATTGAGGGAGTCGGTCAATGCCTCAGATCTGAGGGAAATTGGGCAGCACGGTGTTGTCGTGGTGGGTTTAGAGGATGCCTTCGCTCACCACCCAACACGTTGGGCATTATATCCTCTGTTTGCTCCTACCAACCTCCCCCTATCCAAATAAAACTGACTAATCCACAATTGCCTCGCCATCTCGTGGATGCGGGAAAGGCTGGGCCGTTGGAAATCAACATTCGGACATCTTGAAGTGACGCCCGAACGAGACCCTTCGTTGTTTAAAATGGCCGCCCACCTTTGGCGGTTGACCCGTCAACCGACCCGCTCTTGCGGAAGATTCCCCGGTGGCAGAGAAATGTCGGAGAAAGCGTCCCAATGTAGGTCTCCCGATTTCATCAACAAGCCTGTTTCTAAGCCGGGGGCAAGCAAAACTCTTCCCCTTGCGTTAGCGCCCTTACTAACGTTTGGCTTGTTTGTTGTACTTGCTCTGTACTTACACAGTCTCGTCGTTGAGAAACTCCAGCTCTCCAAAGGCGTCCTCATAGTCCACTCCTCCTCCCCTGGCCGTGCCTTCCACTGTCCTGTATGGTACCATAACGGTTCCCCGAGCGCCTGAGGTCCTCAGCACCTTCAGCTCCATGACACCAACGCTCTCGCTCACATGGTAAACTTTGTCCTCGAACGTGAAGATTCCAGCATGGTCGTCGTCGAGGATTGTCACTGTCGCAACCAAGGGAGCGACAAGACGCCCCTTGGGATATTCTGTTGGGTCCGAGTCGAACATGCCTTCAGCATCTCCGCTTCTGAGGTTCCCCAGACGGACAAAGAAGTGCTCATCTTCCTCAAATATATCATCATCAATGATACCCACTGTGATCTCTTTTGTCATTTCACCTGGCTTGAAGATCAAGGTGCCTTCGGTGTACTCATAGTCTGAGCCCGCATTGGCCGAACCATCTTCTGTTCGGTAATCCACGTAGAAAGTGCTGTTCTGCTCTCCACCTTTGCACACAACAGTCAGAGTGACAAGCCCGCAGTTCTCAAAACATTGGTAGTTGGCAGGCTCAAAGCAGATTTTGCTGCACATCTCCTCTGCGGGGTCAGGTCTTGCCTCATTAAGGTTTGCTGTCCTCTTTGCATGATCGGCAGCATGCTTCTTCAAAATGTTACCTGCCCCGGTCATCATTCTGGTAGCTTGGATGCGGTAGAAGGCCCTGCTCTTTTGCTGATGAAGCAGAGCGTAGTAATTGGCCAACTCAACCAGCTGTTCCAGTTCTCGATCTGGGTACTTTTGCTTGAGGTCTTTAAGAATTCGAATGGCTTCTTTACGACTCTCATCTAAGTCTTTGGCTTCCAAAGAGATCACAGTTCCATCAGGTAGGACACTGTCTCCATGCTCCAGGACCATTTTCCCATCCATCTCAATTCCCTTGGGGAGCTCTCCCTCTGTCTCAATAATGATGCCTCTGCGCTTATCCGCACGGTACCTTTTGTAGACATATTTGTAGAAGAGTAGCCTCTTATCAGCAATCCAAGCAAAGACCACACAAACCGGAAAGAACATCAGAGTCAACAGTCCTTCCCAAACTTGGACAATGCCAGGTGAGAAGACAGCAAGGATTAGGTACATCCATATGTAGGCAAAAATGCTCCACGATGCAGTGACAAAAAACACCCGCAAATGCTTGACTCTCCGAACCTCACCATCAGGGATGCAGTAAACGCATACAGCAATGATGACAAACATGTTGAAGGCTGCACTACCAACGATTGTGCCAGGTCCCAGTTCTCCAGCAAGAAAGCCATGCCCACACACTTCAATTAGTGACAAGAGAATTTCTGGTGCTGAAGAACCAAGAGCCATTAAAGTCAAGTTGGACACTGTCTCGTTCCAGATTCGCACGGTGGCCATGCTAGTCTCGCCATTGGGTAATGTGATCGTGATCTCTTTCTCCTGCGAAGTGATGACTTCTATCGATGCCATGAAACGATCAGCTATGATTGAGACACCAAGAAACATGTACAGCATCGCAACAAAATAGACAATAGCCCTGGCAACTATGTCTCCCAAGGACGGATTCTGTGGGTACCATATTGGGAGTATGATCCCGCGGTTGCACTGGAAGGACCCGAAACACGATGAATTGGGCAAGTCAATGGGGTCTTCGGTGGCAGTCCCCTCAGTCTCCCAAATGGTCATCATGAATATGGTGATCATGAACCCTGTCCCCAAGACTGGGGACAGAAAGCTTTTCCACTGTAACTTGGCCATTGATGTGGCTTACTTGGAGAGGATAAACTTGCTTTCAGGATCTCCCAATCTTCAGATGTCTGTTAAACAAAAAAGATAAAAGGAAACTATTAAAATGATTACATTTCATGGCAATGGCAGCTGAGACAGGAACATTTTCTTTAGTTAAATCCAACAAATATTTGGTTCAACTGTAATCAGACCTGAAAATATTTTGAAGGATCTGTCATTGTGTGATGAGGTCTCCATCAAGACATTAATCCTCATGTTTAAATACATAATTGATTGATGTCGATGTGAGGTACAATCCCAGTATTCATGCAATTTCAATGTTTTGAAAATTTCCAAAGAGAAAACCAGATCAGCATTTCGACACTGATGATGTCTTATATTCACACATGTGGATCATCATTGATAAATAGCATAATGTCCTTTAAATTTGGATATTTAAAGGGGATGGTGCAGTCCCAATATCATTGTAATGAATGTAATTCATATAAGACACCGTCATACCTGTTATGGCTGTATAGAATCAGTGGAAATGAACTGCAGCTTATTTAGGAAAGAAAGACTTCCATTTATATAGCACCTTGTATATTCCCAGGACATTCGAAAGGGCTCTGCAACAAATGAAGTAACTCTGAAGTGTTGTAGTGATAGAGTTATGGCAGCCAATTTACTCAGAAGATCCACAAACAGCAATGAATTTACTTACCAGGTAATCTGTCTCTTTAGTGATATTGGTTGAAGAATACATATTGGCCAGGACAGTGCAAGGAATTGACATAGCTTTTTTTCTTTGGAAATAGTTCAAGCATCATTTACATCTATCCAAGAGGGAGGCAAAACCGCAGTTTAATAACTCAATCAAAAGACAGCACCTTTTTCAGGACAGCACGACCAATGCACTACATTAAATAATGCGCTCAAGTCCCTGGAGTGGGACTTGAACACAAACCTGTTGAGTTTTGGGTGTGGGAGCTACTTACTGAGGTACAGCTAATATGTATTTTTCCTCCTATTATCTGAGGCACTTTGGCAAGGTGGATCCTAAATAAAAATATCTAATCTAGAATTAGACCTAAATATAGGGGCTCTGGCTCATGTGCCAGGATTGGGCTTAATATTGCACATTCTGCAATAATCAATCATGGCTGCTGTGCTTTGGTTCAACTTATCATCAGTCTGTTCAGAGTCTCTGACTCTTGCAGACCAGGCGGCACTTTGTCTGCTGACATGAATGGCCCAGAAATTAGTGGAATCAAATCTTTTGTAAACATATTCTCAAGATCCAGAAGAAGAAAATCCCTGAGGGTCAGATGCTCAGTTTATCACCTGGAATTGTCTATCTTGAAAACATCATCATCACCATCATTACAGTCCATCAAGATGACATCTTTAACATCTTCAACAATCGGCTAGTGTGCCAGACTCCATCTTTTTGGGTTGAATCAATAGCAATCACATCAACAACTTGTAGTACCTTTGACATTGCATAACATTCTACTCTTCTAAACAGAAAGTCATAAGCCATCCTTCCAAGGTTTTTCACGGGCATTGTAGCAAACAAAATTTGATGGAGCCATGTAAGATGATATTAGCAGACTGAAAGTTTTGTCAGATCTAGGTTTTAAGTACAATCTTTAGAGAAGAAAAGCAAGGTGGAGAGGTTTGGGGAAAGAGCAATGGACCTTGGGAGCTGAAGACATGTCCCCAAGATACCTGGCGAAAATGATTTGGGTGAGGGTGACCAATCGGAACAAAAGTCACAAAGTGTCAAAAGTATAGGAACTGAGAAATTTTGAAAGGTGCTGCTTTTCCCCTGTATTTATTGTTGACAGCAGATGTGGGAGCACAACAGCCCGAGAATGGAAGTGAAGTAGGTAGTAGCAATGACTAAGTCAAGCAAGGCCTGGGATGGGAGTGAGTAAGAGTTTTATGGGCAATGCAAGATGCAATTCTCTGCAAAGGGGAGAGGGAGGGAGACTATGAAGGGGAACAGTCTGCAAAAGAATATTAAACTAAGTGGCAGCCAGGGAAAATTGAAGTCTCTAACTTAATAAATTCCTTGCAAATTATTGTGTTTTATATGAAATATTATTGAGGAAAAAACTTGTTGCTAACTTATCTCTGTTGTCTTATGCCAATTTAAATACTGTGGTGTCTAAGAAATTAAAGCTTTCTTGTATATTGAGGCTTTATGTTTAATGGACGAATGATAATTGAGGATATTGATTCTCGTCTTGCTTCTGAGAGTCTGAATACTTCAAGTCAATGCAAATACAGAAGGTAATGTTACGATGTGATTGCATCACCTGATGAAGGAATTGGTGAGAATGAAAAGGTAGTACCCGAAAATCAAAATGTTGCTCTTGAGAAAATTTAAGAACAGTCCTTGACAAAAATAAACTATTTGGACCCTACAGCCAAGGTTGGGTGAACTTAAACGTATAAGAGTGGAACATGGGAGGCTAGCCAAGAGTGCATCAGAATACTTAAGTCTAAGGGAGACAAAGACATGGATGAGGTTACCGATGAGCGGAGACAGGGCTACAGCCAAGAGGTGGAAATCAACCACCTTGGTAATGGCCTGGGTGTGTGGTTGAAAATTGAATTATAACACCAGAGTTGCACACTCTGCTTCAGCCTCAAATAGTTGCGATTGAGAGGGATAGAGTTGGTGGTTTTGGGATTTTGGGAGATGGCAGCTGGGACTGACGAAAATGGTTTCTGTCTTCCCAAAATTCAAGTGGAGGAAATCTGTCCAGTTCTGGATATCAAACAAGCCCACTGACAAATTACAGTGTCTGGAGAGTTTGAAAGAGGTAGTGATGAGGTAGAATTTGTCACTTAGGGGATTAGAATTTTGGAACAATCTTGAGATGATGCACATCGCTGAATATAAATACCACATATTGGACAGAGTGCTAAGTATAAATGCCACAAACTGGCCGGAGTCTGCCTACAGACTAGAAGAAACACTCTGGAAGATACTCAAGACAGAGATTCTCCCTAAGAAACTGAGTTAATGGGCTTGAATACATGAAGATAAATTAATCTGAACCTATTGTAACATGGGTCAGAACCTGGTTTATCAATGTTACCATATATCACTGTGTTTAGTATTAATGTATTATAAACAGTGTTACTTTTAAGTCTAGGCTTGATGACAGTTGTTGACTTTGCTGCATTCTCATCTAGTCTGGAGAGAACCCAAATTCATAATATGGCATTAAATTACAGGATCAGAAAATGGGTGCTGTGCTTTCAGATGATGCCTCCAAGGGGCAGCATGTAGGGGCAAAACGGGAGGTGGTGAGAATTGATCCTCTGGGGACACCAGAGATAACACTGAGGGAGTAGGAAGATAAACCATTGCAAGTGCTTTACCGGCTATAATTAGATGGATAAGAATGAAACCAGGCAAGAGCAGGTACACCGAGAATGCATTAGTGAGGAGGGTTGTGAAGGAGGATGTCATGGTTCAACCATGTCAAATGCTGCAGACAGGACAAGGTGATATGGAGGGACAGTTTACTTTTGTCATAGTCACATGGCACTTCTCTAAACTGCAAGTAATGTAGTCAGAAAAATAATGTTAGGGTAATTCTCCTTCAAAGCAATCCTACTGTAAGTGACGGGGGAAAACAGAAAATCAATAACCCAAAATGAGGACAGTTTTTCCTCCGGCTTCATCAGGCCTTGAGTCACAGCTTCGTAATCTCCTCCAGCTGCTACAGCTGTCCAAAAATTGTGTCCTTCTCCAATTCTGGTCTTGTGGACATACCCAATTTCCTTTGCACTACCTTTGTTTAGCTCTTTGACATTATGTTCCAGAATTCCTCTCCTTAAACCTTTTTTTACCACTCTGCTTGGTTTTTTTAAGATGTTTCTTAAAACCTACTTCCTCAACCAAACAACTGATCTGTCCCAATACTTTTATTTAATCCCCTGTTTTTTTTGGTTACCCCCTCCACACTTCTGCTGTACATCAGTACTTACACACGCACAATGTGGGTGCTATCGGGGGAGAAAATAAGCACTACTACTGCTATACAGCAGTAGGACTTACACAACACAGGTGGTGTGGGGAATAGTAAGTGCAGGGACTAAGTGAAGACACCATTGTGCAGATAATTTTATTCAGTACTTCCACCACCAGGAAAAACACCCAAATAACAAGCAGAGGCTGATGGAGGCAGTACTTATGTGAGAAAAGGTGAAGGGGGATTAAATCAAAATAGCATTCTGGAGGGCAGTAAAGTACTGCGTCCCCCGTGATGCCCACATCTCCCCAAAGACATTGACAGCATTGATGGATACTGCATGCTTCCTCTCCAAGGACACCCAGGTTTGAACATAGCTGTGGAAGAGGAGCAGACAGTAGGCCAAAATGACCCCCTCCACAGCCCGCTGCCTGGACCTGTTTACGGCTAGCCTGGCTAGGCCCAGGAGCAGACCAATACTTCTTTATGTGGTTTGAAGTTAAAATTCAATTGGTAATGATCCTGTAGAGTAGCTTGAGCTGTTTAGTGATGTTAAAGCTGCTATATACATAAAACCTGTTGTTGACGTAGTGTCAATGAAGGAATGGCAACAAAGTTTCCGTTCAAGGTGGTGCAACGCAGAATTCCACAAGCATCAAACTCCCCCAGCATCCCTGCACCCACCCCATCAAAATTTACCCCAGGTTATGTTCTCCTTCATACAATACCTGAGACAACGAAATTGATATATTGATATATTATTGATATATTTATATACTTATTTATTGATATTCTTGGTCAGTGGAAGCCACACTGTCAGAGTGAGGGAGACATCACCTAAAACAGAGACACAGTGAGTACCTGTGGATTTGGTCAAAGTGGGAATTCAACTGGTAAATCTTTTGTAAGTTTAATTATAGAACAAAAGTCAGAATCAGACCTAGAACCAACAATCTTTAAAGAAGTTAAAGTAACCTAGTTAAATAGGCAGCTGCTATCTATCAAAGAATTGAAATTCCTAGCCTGATTTAGATGTTGATTACAGTAGCAGGATGTTAAGAAAAACAAGTGACTCATCGCAGCTCTCCATCAAA